GTGTTTCTTTGGTTTTGAGACAGGGGCTCACTGTGTGGGTCGGGCTGGCCTTGAACTCTCTGGGTAGCCCCGGCTGACCACAAATTTGCCGTGATCCTCCTGCCTCAGCCTCCTAAACCTGGCATGAAATTTAAATTTTAATAGAAAAAAACATTTTTGCTGTCACTTGAAAATCAGTCACGACTTGTTAGCCTGGTAGAGCCGCCTGAGGAGAGCAGTGTCCGCCTGGGTGACGTGGCCTGGGCGCTTCCTCGTGCCCACGCTGACAGGTGCAGGAGGGGCTGTGGCTCCGTCCTCAGCAGCTGCTGTGAGAATTCTCCACCCTGTTGCCCTGCAGACGCCGTCAGTCCTGTGAGGTTTACTCTAAGTAAACTTGGTTTAACAAGCCACAGATTCCCGTAAACAGGCAGACAGAAGCCCACCCGAGCCCCCCTGCTCAGTACCCCAGAGGAGGGCTTTGCAGTCTGGGCTCTGCCCTTCGAGGCTGCAGCAGATATGGGCGCGGCTGCGGGGAACACACACATCCACACGCACACGCACAGAGCTCCATGGCTGTGCTGCACACACGCACACACGGGTGCACAGCGCTCAGTCAGCTCTGCCGCACACACACGTGCATGCACACGCACACACACGCGCCCGCCCACACGGCTCCACCTCACCGGCTCTGCTCCTTCCGCAGCTCTCTTCGCAGAAGTCGGTACCCTGGATTCCCATTTTGAAGTCACTGCCACTCTGGGCTATCGTCGTGGCGCATTTTTCTTACAATTGGACCTTTTACACTTTGCTGACTTTGCTGCCCACGTACATGAAGGAGATCCTGAGGTTCAATGTCCAAGAGGTAAGGAAGCCACCGTGGGCTTCTCTGGGGCACACGTGTGGCAGAGCGCCACGCGGAGCTTTCATCATTGGCTGGAAGCCTTTCACCTTGCCCTACTGGGGGGCTTCGCGGCCCCGCCCTGCCCTGTTCCCTTTCAGCGTGTGGGTTGGTTTGTGTGCAGGGTGTGACCCGGGGCCTGCCCTCTGCCCTTCCCAAGCCTGCGCCCAGCCTGTCAGCTCTTCTCCAGGGTGTCCTGTCTGACAGTCCTCAGCTGTTGTCCTCATGACCCCAAATGCACAAGTGACCAGATTGAAAGAGACCCGCTGAACTTCAA